GGTTACCTCAACACATTCCTTCTCTTCCCAGCAGATTACCTGAACTTGAACACCCACAGTTTTCTGGGTCTCTCACCACTCATTACCTTGGGTTACCTCAATGTGTTCATTCCCTGCCCTGGAGAGAATGAACCTCCTTTTTAACCCCCAAAGTTTCCCCTTCCAGCCCACTGCTGACTACCTCTCTTTGAACACAAAAGAGTCATTCTCTCCCCTAGAGAATATCTCCTTTTTAATCCCCAGAGTCTTCCCTACTGCACACTCCTGATTACCTCTTTTTTGACTTCCAAATATTCATTCTCTGTCCTGCAGATTTGCTCATATTTGACCCTCAGAAATTTCTCTGCCTCTCCCCTACTGACTGCCTCACTTTGTTCCAAAATGTTCCTTCTCTCTGCTGCACGTTGCCACAGATTTGACCCCCACAATTTTCCTTACAGGTGTACCACTGAGTACCTCATATGTTCATCTCTCAATATTCATTCTCTACCATGCAGATTACCTCAGATATTTTCCCCCCCAGGTTTTCCCTACGAGTCCACAACTGATTACCCCAGTTTACCTCATGATGTACATTCTCTGCTCCACGTGACCTCAAATTTTACAAACACAAATTTGCTCTAACTGCCCAACACTGACTGCCTCACTTTACCCCAAGATATTCATTCACTCTGCTACAGATTCTACTCCCAAAATTCTCCTTACCTACCCACATGTAATCAGCTCCTCTGTACAAATCCATGTTCATTCTCTACCCTGTGGACTAACCCAAGTTTACCCTAAAACACTCCCCAACTGTCCACCACTGAGTACCTCATTTATCCTTCAAAATATTCAGTCTCTGCCCTGGATGTTCCCTCAAGTTTTACCCCCAAAGGTTTCCCTTCCTGCCCATTGCTGACTGCCTCATTGTCCATCATGATGTGCATTCTCTCTGCTCCACATGACCTCAAATTTTACAAACAGCAATTTTCCCTACCTGCCCACCACTGACTGCCTCACTTGACCTCTAAATGGTCATTCTGTTCTCTACAGATGACATCAAGTCTTACCCCCAACATTTCCCTTCCTCTACATCATCCATTTTCTCTTCCTGACTCCCCAAATTTCCATTCCATCCCTACACATTCCCTGAGTGTTTCCCTCCAAAGCATCCTTCCCTTGTTCCCTGTTTAATAATTCACACTCCAGCCCCAGGCTCTCCACTCCCCCCTCAGTGGGACCCCTCCAAAACGCCACCTCCCTCCCTTCTGGAGCACCTCACCTTTTCCTACAGAAACAGTTGCTGTGTCCCCTCGAAATTACCCCAAGTTGGCAGCTACAAATGTCACCTCTGTCCCTGCCATGTTCTCCCAGGTTTCCCCAGCTGGGAGCTGCAAGGAATTCAGGCCAGTGAATGGACATCAGGGAACAGCTGTACATGCAAAGGCAGAAAGAGAAGATCTGTCAGCAAAAGGCACAAAGAAGGGGACAGGTTTCAGAAAACATTTCTGCAGTCCAATGAATAACCCTTTCCAGTTTCCCAGTGAGAAGAACAGGAACTCACAGCCACCAAGGCCTGACAGTCCCCTGCAGCCAAAGCTCAGCACACACCCAGAGAGGCAATTCCAGCATCTAAAAGAAAAAAAAAGGAAGAAAAAAGTGATTTATTTTGTTTTACAGTTACTTTAAGTGGTTGAAAGCCAAGCAAGCCTTGCTTTGGTTTCAGTTGGGTGAACAGTGAGCGGTGGGCACAGGGGGAAGAGCAGCTGGTGGAGTTGCCCAGTCCAATTCCTGCCCAAGGCCTGACTGGCCCAGGACAAACCCTGTGGCAGGCAGTGGTTTTGTTCCCTCTAATGGTCTGTGCCCAGTGTGTCCCTGTGGGCAGTGCCAGGCTGGGGACAGGCACACGCAACTGGCAGCACTCTCTGCTCCAAAGACACTTCTGGGCTCCTTTGAATCCAAAAATCTGGAATAATGGACTGCCCAGAGTCTTTGATCTTTGAGCAGCAAAGGTATTTATCGACAGTGCTGGGAGCAAGCCAGCTATTGCTGGAAAATCTTGCTCAAAGGCTTCACACAAAATCAGCAATTTTATACAATTTTTGTATATGATTAAATGCATATTCAAGTGATTACAACATCTATCTATACATATAAATAACAGGTGGAGTATAGGTGGAGCTCAGGCGGGGCTTGGGGCAGTGCTTCTCTTGGCCCTCAATTTTGGTGGGAGTTCCGTTCTTCCTCCATGGGTCTGAGGGCTTAATCTCATCTTCCTCAGCCTGACCTCTCTTCTTTTCCATTGTTCTCGACCCGCTCACTGAAGCTTGAAAAAAGCCTTGTCTCCTGGCCTGTTTCTTCTATTCAAATGTCTACCTTATCCTACTGCATCTTAATTTATTACCTCTAGGCCTATAACATGTTCTTTTACCATTCTTTTAAGTTCTGGTCCAGTGAGTAGAACAGAACAAGCACAGATCGTTTTGGATGTTAGTAGCTTGTAAGCAGGCCCAGATTTCTCAGTTGACTCTTTGGGCCTGGCCTTCTGTTTCAGTCCCCCCTTTTGCTTATAACTTACGAATTCCTTCGTCAAGTTCTAACGGGTTTTGACAGGTATGCGTCACTGCCCACATCATCTGCATCCTTTTGACCATGGTACTCAATTTGTACCATAGCCAGAACATTGAAGACGAATAGCAGAACCATGACGGCTCCTAAAATCAATACTGGATGTATTAAATAGTGAAACACTTGTGAGGCCGCAGGGGAGTACCCCGTAAAGGTGTCCCACCAATAATGCTCTCCCACTTTTTCCACTTTAGTTAAAACAGTTTTTATGTTTTCAGTGTCATGTTCTATTTGCAGAGTCGTTCTGTTCACTTCCTGGACCAGTTTTTCTATGTCAGGATGTTTCAGCATTGCTTTAGAAAGATTAATGTTCATTCCTATCTGCAATTTCGGCACATCATGATACATTATATAATCAGCTGCAATCAGTTGTCCAGTAGTCACAATATAATCAAAGTCACAGCCCGTGATTCCGGTAAAATTACATACGCAAAAATTAGTACCATTCGCTACTTCATGACGAGCATCTATGGTAAAATTAACACAAAAGGTCCTGACACATGCACATCCATCTCCTACGTAATAGATTTGTGATTGGGCTTTAGCACGGGGAAGCATCTCAAAGGTACACACGCTATTTTCAGTCTCTAAGCATAAATCGTCATCTTCTACTACAGCATTTTCACAGATATATCCTAATTGTCCTTTAGGAGTACATGCCTCAGGACTGACTGACTGCCACTTTTTCTTGGTGTGATCGTAACTTGCCCAAACACTATGGTCTATGGGTCTGACAGCTATGTTTTGGTGTATGGCTCCTAATGTCAGGATAGGAAAGATGGTCTTTTCTTTGGCTGCGCTGACAGTGAGTACATAAGCTTCAACTTGTTCACATTGAGGATTTTAAGTGAAGTTCACTAACTGCCACCACGCTTGGTAATTTTTCTCAAATTGTGTATTGGAACTGTTTCTAGCTATTATTTCTCTTACCTCTTGTGGCAGTATTCCTGAAGTTCCTTCTCTTAATATTCCTGCAGCTACAGATTGTACCCATTGTTGAGTCTGGAGACGTATTGCAAGTGCAAACCTTTTGTGGATGGCACCAGCATAGTCGGTAATCTTGATAAAATCTTCCACAGTGTGGTTAGACACCAATGTCAACAATCTGACTGCCAATGACTCTGTTTCTGCCAAAGTGAGCAAAGATGATCCTAAAGGGACTTTGAGTTTTCCCAGATCAGAAGTGACGGCACTTAGTTTATTCACTAACACTTCTTGGTCCGTAGTGTTTAGTACACCTAATCCTGTGCCAAACCATTCGGCTACATCTCTTTGTATTCTGGTACAATGTGATCTAGCCACCATCCATGCATTCCAGCCTTTAAGGCTTTGCTGAATATAGGGCTGACAATCTTTCTGTATGTGTGACATGTTTACTTGAATGTTTATTTGATCCCTTTTCAGTGAATATGTGGGATCTAACAGTAGCTTCTGCTCATTCGACTGCCTTATTACATATGGTCCAGCAAAAGTTAAATTGTGGACACTCTCACAGGACAAAGGAGGAGTTGTAAAGCTGGTGGTGGTAGTGGCCTTAGTCAATGGGGTGGTAGGAGATTTGGTAGCTGGAATACTTGATGAAGCATTAATTATAACTCTCCTAGTTACATTTCCTTCGCTGATTGTCCACTGACAAATTGATTTATCCAGAGTGAAGGTGTGCCAACACTGATCAGAAGCACATGCATGTCCACTAATTACATCTCCACAGTCAAACGGGTAGGTAAGTTTTACTTTTACAGTATCCTGTACAGTCATGTCAGTTTTGGGTGACCATTGAATCTGTGAGGGTGGTTTATACATTTTACATCCGACTCAAGTTGGTTCTCCAATTTTTCCTATTAGAACACTTGCATCGTGTGGTTTACCAGGGTATTCCCAATTATCCAGTACCCTCCTTGGAAGACTAGATAGATGGATTGTATTGGTTCAGTTTGTCTGGGTGAACTAAAAGTTCTGGTTCTATATGAAATTGTAGACCAGAGCTCCCACTGTAGGCCTGAGACCATAATGATTTTTGGGCAAGGGCTTGATCTAACACCAATGTACTTAACAGTCCAAAGATCAGCATTGAGAAGGTTTGAGGGCAGATGATTCCTCTCCCAAGGTCCGTGCTTCCTCTGGAACCCTCTTGACTCGAGAGTAGTGGATCCACGTGGGTTTCTCTTTCACCCGTCATCAGCACCTGGTAGGGTCCATCCCACTTCTCTCGTAGTGGATCTCCTGAAAGATTCTTAACATATACCCGATCACCAGGATTGAATGGATGTAACTTACAATCAGGCTGCTTGGGTTGGTGTTCTAACACCACCGTAGCATTTTTCTGCAGTTGTTTTCCTACAGCCACATACCCATAATCATCCACGTACTGATTACCAATTTGATCCAAAGCTTCACTATTCACAGCTTGCATCATGTAGGGTCTGCCCAACAGAATTTCAAATGGACTCAGTTTCTCTTTTGACCTCGGCTTGACCCTTAGCCTGATTAAAACAATAGGTAAAGCTTGGTACCAGTAAAGATTTGTTTCTTGACATACTTTAGCAATTTTTTGTTTAATGAGATGATTCATTTTTTCTACTTGCCCACTTGCTTGTGGTCTGTAGGGCATATGCAGTTGCCAATCAATTTTCAATGCTTTACTTATTGCTTGTGCCACTTCTGCACAAAAGTGTGAACCTCTGTCTGAAGAGATACTCTTGGGTACTCCAAATCATGGTATAATATCGTTTAACAAGACTTTACCCACTTCTCTTGACTTATTTGTTCTACATGGGAACGCTTCTGGCCAACCAGAAAACGTGTCAGTCAAAACTAATAAATAACGGTACTCCCCTTTTCTTGGGAGTTCAGAAAAGTCAATCTGCCAAATCTCACCTGGGAAGCATCCTCTTTTTATTGACCCTGGATTAATTTTAAGTTTGGTGTTTGGATTATTCTTCAGGCAAAGTTCACATTGAGATGTGACCCGCTTTATTGTGGTAAACAAATATGGTCCTGCTACTCTAGTTTTTAAGTGTTGATAGACTGGATCCAAACCCCAGTGAGTTTTATCAAGTTCTGCTTTCACAAATTGCCATATTAATTTTTCTGGTAATGCTAATTGGCCTGTCTTCAATTGACCCCATCCATTGTGTAACAGCTTACCTACGTTTTTGTGTATCCACTGATAATCTGTTTCTTGATACTCTACCTGTTGATCTGTGTCAAATCCTTCTGGTGCTAAAGCTGCTACCGGTTGTTCATTACCTCTTGCAGCTGCTAATTTGGCTTCTGCATCAGCTTTTCTGTTTCCTATTTCCAGGACAGTGTTACCTTTCAGGTGTCCTGGGCAGTGCATAATTGCCACCTGAGAGGGGAGTTGTACAGCTTCTAGTAATCGTAGAGTTTCTTCAGCATATTTCACAACTTGTCCTTGAAGAGTTAAAAGCCCTCTTTCTTTCCAAATTGCTCCATGAGCATGAACTATGCCAAAGGCATATTTGGAGTCAGTCCAGGTGTTAATTTGTTTTCCTTCTGCCAATCCTAAAACTCAAATGAGAGCCATCAGTTCTTCTTTCTGGGCTGAGGTTCCTGCGGGCAAAGGATTTGATTTGATGACCTCAGTAGTGGTGGTCGCAGCATACCCAGCCATCTTCACACCTTGTCTTATGAGGCTGCTGCCATCGGTAAACCAGTCTTCTGCATCCAGGGTGGTTCTTCTTTAAGGTCCAGGCAGCTGCAGTGCACTGCTTCAATGGTTTCCAGGCAGTCGTGCACGACAGGTGCAGCCGAGATTCTTCCTTCTAGGAATGAAGCTGGGTTAACAATGTTAGTCACCTGAATGGTTATGTCATCTGATTCAGCCAGGATAACCCGATTTTTCAGAAATTGGGAGGGTGACAGCCAATGATTTCCTTTCTGTTCCAGTGCCGTAGATACTGTGTGGGACACTAACACAGCCATTTTCTGTCCCATTGTACATTTCCTGGCTTCTTCTATATTTATGATCATTGTTGCTTCTGCCCTTAGGCAAGTGGGCCATCCTTTGCTTACTTGGTCCAATTGCTTGGAGAAGTAGGCTACTGCTCTTTTATATGGCCCTAGTTGCTGAGCCAGGACCCCCAGAGCCCTCATGAGTTCTCACCTCAGCTGTTTGAAGGCTCCACTTGCTTTGGGGGTCCAGACTAGGCTGCCCTTAGTTATTTTCAGCAGGTCATATAAAGGCTTTGCAATTAGCCCATACTGATATATCTGTAAACAACACCAACCTGTCATTCCTAGGAAGGCTGGAAGGTTTCTCACCATCTGTGGTTTGGGTGCCTGGCAGATGATTTCCTTTCTTGTTGTCCCCAGAGATCATTGTCGTCTCGATGTTTCATATCCCAGGTACATGACTTTCTCCTGGACCGGCTGAGCTTTCTGTTGAGAGACTCAATACCCATTTAAGTCCAAAAAGTTTAAGAGGTTTACTGTCCATTGGACACATTCTTCTTGTTTTTCAGTAGTAATCAGTAGATCATTCACATGTTGTAAAAGTATACCCTCTCCCAGTGGTAACTGCCACTGTTCCAATTCTTTAGCTAATTGATTCCCAAAAATTGTGGGGATATTTTTGAACCCTTAAGGTAAAACTGTCCAAATGAGCTGAGTTTTCCTTCCTGTGGTGGGATTTTCCCACTTGAAGGCAAATATCCTTTGACTTTCCTGTGTTAAGGGAAAGCAGAAAAAAAGGCATCTCTTAAATCTAATACTGTGAACCAAATTGGACTTTTTAAAATATTGTTAATAGGGTATATAGGTTTGCAACAGCTGCATGTATGTTTTGGCTATTTTGTTTACTGCTCTTAAATCCTGAACCAACCTATATGCTCCATTTGGCTTCTTGACTGGTAAAATTGGGGTGTTGAAATCTGATTCACACTCTACAAAAAGCCCTAATTTCAAGCAGTTATCTATTATTGGTTCAATTCCTTTTCTATCTTCTAACCTCAGTGCATATTGTTTCCTAATTACTGGGTTTGCTCCTGGCCATAATTCTATTTGAATGGGAACTGCCCTTTTCGACTTTCCTGGTGTTTCAATAGCCCAAACTCCTGGGTATACCTGATCTAAAATTTGATTGACATTTGAATTATCCTGGCTTGGCTCCACATAGCTCATTGCTAAACTCAGAGCTGCTATTAATTGTTCTTCCCTTACCTTAAATTCAATTTTACCTTGTTTGATTTCTATTACAGCTCCCAGATTTTCCAATTTTGAACTCTGAGGGTTTCAAAGGAAAGCTTTTCAGATTGGCCAGTGGCATCCACAACTTAAACATATTTATCACTTTTAGGTATTAATTTTTGATTCAAAACAGAAAATGTAGCCCCGGTATCAATTAGAAAATCTAATTCTTCTTTTTCTTCCCCTAGCTTAATTTTTACCAGCAGGTCCCCTAGGTTCTGGCCCACCAGCCCCCCAGTTCACTCATTCTCACCTTCCACATGCTCCCAGGCTCACCCCAAATTCAGGACAAGGTGCCAAAGGCCACTCGGGCCGGGGCTCTCTCTGTCTCTGCGGGCTCAGGGACTGCAGCCACCAGGGCCCTCCAGCACGGACAGCCTGGCCCCAGAGCAGATCCCTCGGCATTAGCAGCGTCCTGGGCATCCCTGGAGACAGAAACCATCAGCCTCTGGGGATAGCACTTCATTGCCAGCACACACAGCCTGCCAAATTTAGGGGGGCAGCTCTCGGACCACAACACCCAGTCTGACCCAGTTCTCCTGGGCACCAACACAGACTCCACAAACCCACAAGAATGAAAATGTTCTGCTGCTTTGACAAACTTCAGCCCAGCTTTGCACACCTCAGTCCCTGCAGCTCCCTGCTCTCCAGAGCCCCATTCAGGGCTGGCTCCAGTTCCCTGGAGAACCTGCCCCAGCCCCACTCTGGGCCAGGCTGAGCAGAAGCCGCTGGGCTGCACAAGGAAGAACCCTCCCCTGGCTGCTGCAGCTGGAGGGAGATCCAGCTCCCAATGGAATGCTGGGAACAGCCTCCCAGATGGTCTCTGCCCACCCCTTGGCAATGGCTCAGAATGGCAGCAGCTCCAGTGCCAGCTGGGTCCCTGCACGAGCCCTTGTCCCAGCCCTGCCACACGGACACACCCGGGAGACACCCACGGGCACACAGGCCTTGCTTGCACAATTCCTCACCCACAGCTGAGGGAAAGCCACACAATGTTAAGAAATAACCTGGGCTGAGAGCACTCATCACTCCAGTCCATCAGAACTTGGAGGCAGTTGGGTAGGCAACAGACCCAAATTCTAATCCTACCTCTAAATTTCTAACAGGTTCTCTTAGAAAGATGCTGGACAGGAACTCAGGCAACAGAACTCAAAGACTGCACAAGAAATAACAGAAGGTTTGCCATGAAGAACAGAAGTTCCATGTTTTCCTTAACACTCTGGGACTGTAGGACCCAATCTTTGCAACCAAGTGACACCAGAGATGTGATTAATACTTAAACCTCTCCCCCATGGTTCTGTCTCAGAGAACTGGGCCAGCCCTCAGCTACTCCCAGGTGCCTGCAGTGCTTTGGGGAGGGGCAGGACGACGCCCCACTTCTGCTTGGAAACATTCCAGATGAGGAAAAGCCACTTCCCTTCTCTCTGTCTGACCCAGAACCAAAGCAGTCCTGTGGGACAACACGGACTATGCACGGAAGGCCCAAGTCAGTGGAGGAAAAACCCTAAACAAACCAAACCACCCCAAATTTCAAGATAAAAACAGGCTGCTTCCTTAACAGGAGCACACCAAAGTCATTGAAGCCAGAGAGGAAATTGCAAACAAACAAACAAAATAAAGACCCAAATAGATGCTTTGGATTGTTACACTCTCTGGTTAATCATTCCAAAGGAAATTCTCCACAGATCAGAAGCAAGTACCAATACTTTGTCCTCTGCGGAAAATTAATGACTTGAGGAGCTGGACATGTCCAGTGAGGGTTCAGGGTCTAGTGGGTCATTTATGGCTGATCCTGACTGGCCAAACCCAACCACCCCCATCGCTGCTCCATCCCAAACCTGGGGGCAACATTCACACAGTTTGGAAACACTCCCCTTCCCTGCTACTCCGTCCTTCCTTACACATCCAGTGCCCAGGGAGCAAATGCCAACACCAGGAGGAGAGAAACGTGTCCCTCTGACTTACCCCACCCCACGGACAGCACCAGGAGCCCCCAGCGCCGGCCGGCGGGGCTGCAGCCTCTTGCCTTTGGCTGCTCACAGCCCAGGGCACTTGGCAGAGCTGGGCTGCATTCAGGGCTTGGTCCTGGCCTGGAAGAGAGGAGAACAAGGCAATTAAGTGCACTGGGCAAGTCAAAGGCTCCTGCCCTTCACCCTTCTGTTCAATTGCTCACTAGAGAGTTTTAGCCATGAAAAATCCAAGGGGGACACCAAATAAAATGGGACCTTTTCCAGCATTTTCATTCCTATCTGTTTCAGGCATTAAAAGGAGGCTCATCTTTCTTACTGCATTCCTTGCCCAATTTGATCAGCATCATTTTCATTCCAAATCCCCCTTGGGAGTTAGTCAATCCTTTGCTATTGGACTTTGGAGAAAGGAAAAGACACCTGGGACAATGGACTCCAGCAAATCAGGGAAAGAAACCTGACAGGGAAAGGTTTCAAGGCACTCCAGAACTCAGAAATATGCTCATGCCTTGCCAGGCCACCCCAATTCTGTGTCACCCACCTGAGCTGGGCAGGTGAGGCCAAGGCTCCCCTTCCTCCTGCCAATCACTGTCCCAGCACACGGATCCCCGTGCTGGGCAGCACTTGGAAAAACCTGGGAAAGGTAGAAGGAAAATGGCACTGCCTGTCAGAAAATGAGTGTCTGTGAACATCCCTTCTGGACAAATGTAATCCCAACCCTCTGCTCCAATAAACCCAGGGCAGGCAGGTCTCTCCAGCCCAGGGAGAACAGGAAGGAGAACTGCAGGAACACAGGCAGACAGGGGCAGCTCTTGGCACTGATTCCCTGCAGACCTCTCTGCCCTTGGGACTCTTGGCACTTCATTTATAAAGAATGGGGGGGCAGCAGCCCAGGAATGCCCCTCAAAAACAGGGGCCTGGGCAGCTGGAGATTAGAGGAGGGGAGTTGTGAGAGGAGACACAGAGAGAAAACAGAACAGGGGTTGTTTGGGAACAGGCTGTGTGTCCAGCAGGGATGGGAACTGTAAACAAGGGAGGCTGGAGGAATGCACAGGGCTTGCATGGATTTTTCCCTTTGCTCAGGGGCCTCAACTCCACCCTCTCTGTGAAAGCAGCAGGGAACTGCTGCAGGGGAAGAGTTCATTAAGGCACAAGCTGGTGATGCAGTCACTGGGGCAGGGGAAGAGGGGAGAGGAACTGACAAAAATGACACAATCACCACTGAAAGGGACTTTATTGAGCTGCAACACAAACACAGTCACAGCAGGCCAGGGCAAGAGGTGCCCCCAGGACCACCAACCCAGCAGCTGACCTGCAGGAACACCATCTTCTCAAGTTAGGGAGCCAGGGGCTCACAGTTGGGATCCATCCTAAAGATGCACTCAGGCATCAGGGCCAAGTCCTGCCCACTCACTGCAGACAGTTCAGCCCCAGCAGCAGTAGGAGGCTGCGGGGCGGCTCCAAGGGGGTCCCGCTGGCCAGGCTCTGCCCAACAAAGCCAGCTTTAGGCCAGGCCTGGCACTGTGGGGCCGTGGGCACGGGCAGGTGCCGTGAGCTCCCCGTTGGCCACCCCTGGAGCGCTGGGCAGGCGCCCCGGCGGGGCCGAGGGTGGAGGGCACGGAACAGCCCCACACACCTTGGCTGCCTTTGCCCAGCACACACAGCACCTGCAGCCTTCAGCCAGGGCCCCTGAGCACACACAGCCCTTACCCTGCTCCTCAGGGGCAGCAGCCCCAGGGCTCAGTTCTCAGGGAACTTCTCATCCTTTCCCTTCCGTCCTTTGATCCCTGGGCAGGGCAGAGACACAGGAGAAACAACTTCTGTAATTGATCCCAGAGACAACAACTCCATATTGTTCATAAAATCAGTATAATTACTGTGATCAGTGGATGGATTCAAGGGTTCAAAAACTTTGCAGCAGATGGTGAGAATCCTGTAAATATGTCCTAGCAGTGGTGAGCAGTGACTTGTTCTACCTGATGCCCAAAGGTCATTAATTGACCCCTATATTTACTGTTTGCAGTTGGTGATCAAGTCAAGTCTTATTTCAAAGTTGCAGGGCAATAATTGGTATTTACATACAGAAATCCCTGGTTTACTTACATTGAAGTGTGTTATTTTTCCAGCATGATATCAGTCGGTGCACTGCAGCAATTCAGGAGACAAAATCCAGTTAATTTTTGCAATCCAGGATGTGAACACAGCCCTCCAGCTCAGTTCATTGGTTCTCAAGTTGTTCTGTGCCTCATTTCTTTGTATATGCACTCCGCCCAGTTCATAAGTTACTGGTGTTCCCTGTGCACAACAATTACATCTTGGGGAACCATTAGAGAGCTGCCCAAACTCCCCCTCACATTCTGGAGTGAAGGATGCGGGGTAAATACAGTGGGCATCCCTTGTGCTCCTAAATTCAGCACTCCAGATACACCTGGCCCAGCTGTTTTCCATTGGTTACCAAGCAATTCCATGTCTCCACTGTCTACAAACCCAACACCAGCTCCCCTTCCTCCCAGTCCTGTGTCCCCCCAGCCTCACTGCCAGGGGC